TTCGGTATATACCAACGCCCTAATATCACCCATTTTGTTTCTCATACTTCTACTGTTTGAGTAGTAGACATTTAAGTCAGTGGTGTTCTGAGTCATCTCTTTGTCACGTTTAGGTTTTAACTCCCCGCCTAATTTAGTTTTGTCATAATTCCTAGCACTATTTCTCTGTAACCTTTCATTTTCTTAACCAGCTCCAACTGCAGTCGCCTCCACCTCCGTGCCCATATGTCCTCCTAGCAGTTTAAGGACTTCGACATCTTTTGAACTGCCCTTTCGAGAGACCCAGCCAGTCTTGCCACCCCATCCCAAGCATAAAGGTCCCTTCTGCCATAACAGCTGTCCCAGTTGTCAACGAATGGGACTGATATTGACATGCAATATCTGTCAAGACGGCCGTTGACACCAACTGCCCTTTGCCCTTGACAACCATTCACTGCCAACTCTCCTTCTAGGCAGGACACCATATATGATAGGGATCCCTCCCTTCACCCTAAATTATCAAGGAGCTCCGCTCTCCTACACCGTGCTGACCATTATTAAGCAATATCCATTTGCTGAATTGTTGGTATATTTATGTTGCTTGACCAAGTCCTGGTGTATCGTCAACGGCCCATCATGGTTCATCATACATACTGGACACTGGAGTGCAAAGGAAAGATTTGGTGTTATGCATGTGGTGTTATTTTCTTTAATGTTATGGAAGTAAGGTGTTCATATCTTGACTAGTGTTGCTGAGCACTGCTACGGGTATGGTGGAGAAAGTGCTCATGACTTAAGCGAGCAGGAGTAATTTACGTAAAACCAGCTTGTGAGCCGTCCCCTTCATAAGCCATAAGTGGCTCTTTGTCGGCCGGAACAATGGTCCACATAATATCATGTATTATTTATGTGCCTGCTGATTGTTCTTTGGTGATATCACGCCATAAAATGTCTATGGTTATCTTGTTGAGCATCACGCCATAATATTTTGTGACTATCTTGTTGAAAGAATGCTGAGGCAGGGACTCGCTTTAAAGGGGAGAGGTGGGATTAACTCCTTACCTCAGCGGGTCTAGGACAACTGGCCGCCGCCATCTGGCCGCAGCCCAACTGGCCGCGGAAAACTCGCCGCGGCCGACTGGCCGCCATATGGAACTTTTTGTTGACAAAATTGATGAAAGTGTGATAAAAAAAAGAGGATTAAAATTTCTTTATGAATTACCTAACCTAACCTAACCTAACCTGCCTTGAGAGCGCAAAATTAGGCGTTTGCAGTTTACCCCCAGTCCGCGGCGGCCAGTCGGCCTCGGCGAGTTTCCCGCGGCCAGTTGGGCTGCGGCCAGATGGCGGCGGCCAGTTGTCCCATTCCCTACCTCAGCATTGGGGAAATTTCTTGAATCAATTATAGCAAATAGCATTCGGTCGCATTTAGAGAAAAGCAAATTTATCTACGACTCTCAACATGAGTTTACAAAGGGAAAATCTTGTCTAACAAATCTGCTGACGTTTTTTAGGAAAGTCTTCGAGGTAGTAGATAATGACGAAAATTACGATGCTATTTACTGAGACTTTACCAAAGTGTTTGACAGAGTACCACATCAGAGGTTTCTGAGAAAAGTTAAGGCTCATGGCATCGAGGGGAAAGTTTTAAAAATGGATAAAATCCTGGCTCACCGATAGAACACAGAGGGTCAGCGTAGATGGTGTTAAATCTGAGTGGGGCTGTGTAACCAGTGGGGTTCCCCCGGTATCAGTTCTGGGCCCACTCTTGTTCATAATCTATATAAACGACCTAGATACTGGGATCAGCAGTGACATAGGCAAGTTTGCGGATAACACCAAAATAGGGCGGCAGATTAATTCAGGGCAGGATGCAAATGCACTACAGGAGGATTTAAATAAACTGCAGGAGTGGTCAGACAAGTGGCAAATGAAATTCAACACCAGCAAGTGCAGCGTACTTAATATTGGTAGAACAAATACTGTCAACGTATACATTCTTAACAACATCAACCTAGAAAGGTCGACTTGTAAAAGAGACTTAGGGGTACTTGTAAGCCCGGTCCTATGGCCTAGAAAACAGTGCGTTAATGTTCGAAATAAGGCAAACAGAGTATTGGGTTTAATATCTAGAAGTATACGTAATAAGAGTGCAGAGGTCTTATTGCAACTATATCTTGCGCTAGTCAGGCAGCACCTCGATTATGCGGTTCAGTTTTGGTGCCCTTATTTTAGAATGGATATCAATTCACTCGAGTCGGTGCAGCGAAGAATGACGAAAATGATTCCGGGACTTAGAAACCTTCCATATCAAGATAGGTTAAAGAAACTAAACTTGCATTCCCTAGAAAGACGAAGAGTGCGGGGAGATATGATAGAGGTATTTAAGTGGGTGAAAGGAATCAATAAAGGGGATATAGATAAAGTTCTTATAATATCCGAGCAGGATAGGACTTGTAGCAACGGATTTAAGTTGGATAAGTTTAGGTTTAGGAGGGAGATAGGAAGGAACTGGTTCACAAATAGGGTGGTGGACGAGTGGAACAAGCTTAGCAACTTTGTAGTAAGTGCTGGAACGCTGGAGAGTTTTAAAAGGAGGCTAGATGGATTCATGGATGATAGAGAGTGGTTGTAACTCTCGACAGGAGCTGCCATTCACAGGCCAACCGGCCTTGCAGACTCCTTATTTTCTTATGTTCTTATGTTCTTATTGCCTGGGGCGGTGAAGTTATCTCATCAATTGTGTCGGGACGCATGGTGGATAACTGGACGTCATATGGTGTTTAATGATAAGTACTTGAGTTCTGGATAATTATTGGGTCGTGTGAGCTCCATTGGTAACTGTATAAATATTTTTATGTGCAGATAAAAAATTTTAGTGGTGTAAGGAAGTGTAGAGGAATTAATACAATTTTGTGATATTTTTACGTGTGCTTTTCATTAAACACCACTCTGAGAAGCACCAGTCAAGGTCACGGAAAGTATTCAATAAATTACCATTAATTTGTTTGTGCTGAATTTTATTGTGAGGGGCCCTTCCACTGCGTTTAACACCCAACACCCTAAGCAGAATTGAGGTGGTGTCACATAAGAACATAAGAAAATAAGTAGTCTGCAATAGGCCGGTTGGCCTGTGCATGGCAGCTCCTGTCGAGAGTTACTACCACTCTCTATCATCCATGAATCTATCCAGCCTCCTTTTGAAACTTTCCAGAGTTCCCGCACTTACTACAAAGTTGCTAAGCTTGTTCCACTCGTCCACCACCCTATTTGTGAACCAGTTTCTTCCTATCTCCCACCTAAACCTAAACTTATCCAACTTAAATCCGTTGCTCCGAGTCCTATCCTGCTCGGATATTATAAGAACTTTATCTATATCCCCTTTATTGATTCCTTTCATCCACTTAAACACTTCTATCATATCTCCCCGCACTCTTCGTCTTTCTAGGGAATGCAAGTTAAGTTTCTTTAACCTATCCTGATATGGAAGGTTTCTAAGTCCCGGAAACATTTTCGTCATTCTTCACTGCACCGACTCTAGTGAATTGATATCCATTCTATAATAAGGGCACCAGAACTGAACCGCATAATCGAGGTGCTGCCTGACTAGCGCAAGATATAGTTGCAATAAGACCTCTGCACTCTTATTACTTACACTTCTAGATATAAAACCCAATACTCTGTTTGCCTTATTTCGAACATTAACGCACTGTTTTCTAGGCCGTAGGTCCGGGCTTACAAGTACCCCTAGGTCTCTTTCACAAGTCGACTTCTCTAGGTTGATGTTGTTAAGGCTGTATACATTGACAGTATTTGTTCTTCCAATATTAAGTACGCTGCACTTGCTGGTGTTGAATTTCATCAGGTCACAAGAATGTCTACAGACCAGCTCCCACAGTACCAGATCTACAGTTAATCTATATGTTGACTCTATGTTTCTTATGTTTTTTGTATTGAAAGCTTTTGTCAATCAAGTGACCCACTCCCCGATTTCACCATATGTAACTTATCATCTCTGTTCACTGTATATTTTCAGCCTTCGGGATGCCATGTTATCTTAATATACCGTTAATTGTTATTATTATTATTATTATTATTATTATTACACACACACACACATACACACACACACACATACACACACACACATACACACACACACACACACACACACACACACACACACACACACACACACACACACACACACACACACCATCCCCGACACCGGCTCCTACTACCACCTGACATCCCCTGTCCGAGAATTGCTGTTCGACACCACAACCGCATCCAGCCCATACGTGCACGAACTGATCGCTATAAGAACAGCCCAGTCCCAACCATTGTAAAAATTATCAATAACATGTAATAAATCAGTGTATTCACTCCCGGTAAACACTGCTCCTTACACTGTCACTATGTTGAAATGAACTGTAGTTTGAGCTGATCCCCATCTAAGTTATTATATGTCTTATTTGTGTCACTTATGTTACTTGTATATTATTTGTAATTCGTAACCCATTCCCCAAATATGTAACTGTAAATTTTCAGCCTTCTGGCTGCCAAGCTCTTTCAATAAACCGTTAATTATTATTATTATTATTATTACACACACACACACACACACACACACACACACACACACACACACACACACACACGAAACTAACCACATTACCCATATACCATTTAGCTCACATCCAATAATTCACCAATCATCCAAGACACACATGCCCATACCAGCCCACACACGCCACACATGCCCACACCACCCAATACACGCCCACACTCGGCAACACCAACCCTTACACTCATTGATTATAATCAATGAGCCACTTTCTCCTTGGTTTATTTTTCTACGTTAATCTATCCTTCACCGTGGTGGCAGAAAGTCACCCTTTGACAATACATAATAAACTACCCAAAAAAAACAGTTCTATTTTCCTCAGCTAACAAATTATATTCTGTCGTGATATTTAGCCCGCCAATAAAACCTTCCTCGCTGTCTCCCGCGACTCACTGGTTTCGTGCACCTCGAGTGATCAAGTCTCCTACAGCACCTGCCGCAACCTCTCGTTGACGGTGTCTCATTTACATAGAAGATCAGAGCTTGAGAATCGTAAGTATTGTTTGTGAATAGCTTAGATGTCAATATCATCTCCTATTCATCCGTATTTCCTGTATGTTTCGTTGCTATATTTTAGTTGATATATTGAGTGATAATATTACCGAGAGGCAGACATCGCAGTAACGTTAACCACATGAGCATTTTACATGCATCCGTGTTCCTAATAGTTTGCTCTCGGTACACATTGAGCACAACATTTTCAAAGATATTTTACAAGGTAAAAATAAGGTTTGAATAAGATTATGTTTACGCAGTGAATACAGGTAGAATGTTAATAAGAAAGCAATTGGCACTGAATGAATAAGTAACTTGCATTAGTGAAAATTATGAAATTGACTATATACTTATATGCGATATATTATTAGTAGATCAACCATGATGAAGATGTCTAGTTGTCAGACAAAGAATGATAAATAGTAGGATTCGTGACTGAGCCTTGACTGGTTTGTATATGGTTAATGTATAATTACTGAATATTCTACAAGAATCAGATCAAGCGTTTTAAAATGCAATTGACTCTGTTGTGAAGTAGGAATAACATGTTATTATTGTTATAACTTCATGAAAATCACTTTATATCAGACAAAAGTGCCTTCATTTCACACGACCTTCAGTGCCTTAAACAATTAATTATATTTGAAGTTATGATATTCACTTATATACGCGATTGCTCCCATGTACAGTCCCCTCCACCAGTGCTTTTACAGGGCTCGTCAGGTTTGTGCAGTGTGGCAGCCCTCTGTTTGCTTACATTAGACAAAAAAGAAACTCACAATAATAAACATAATATGGAATTAAAGTAAAATAGCATTAAAGCAAATATCTCAATGTAATGATTTGTGGAATGTTTATAGGACGAGCCCCTGTAAACGCACTAGTGAAGGGGACTGTACATATCAGTTCGTGTTTTCCAAATAAACAAAAGGTTATTAAGATGATCCCTTCGTTGGAGTCATCTTTAAAACTCGTCAAGCGGGAGTGTACGTAATGATCCATGGCGGGAATGTTTTCAGTGTAATATTTGGCCTGAAAGACTAAAAGTTATAAAAAAACAAGGATTTTTTTTTATCTAGATGATACTGATCGTATTACAAAAGTAAAGAGATTACTATAACCGACCAACAGGTTAGTGAAAAAATAAGGATGAAGAATATGGGCTTAAGAGTTATTACTGTAAAGACGAAAATAATGGTTGTTTCCACATTAAAACCAATCATTAAATAAATCAATTTATGCAAAAGGGAACTTAAACAGGTAAAAGATTCTGTGTATTTAGTAAATAGCATAAATTATGATGCTAGATGTGAATAAAATAAATAAGAACAAGTCAACTATCAATTGCATACAATATCTTAGAAACCTTTTAAGACACTAGCCTTAGCTTGAGCTAGAGACCATTTGGAAGTGTATCGTATACTAGTAGTGTTTGTAGTTCGCTGGTGGGCGTAAGACTGAAGAGAAAGACCAGGTGCAACACTCGACTTAATATATGTTCATCAAGTTTGTCATTAAGATAGTTTGAGTTATGATCTCAAAAAATACAATGCTAAGTGATTGTCCAACGACCACTGGCCGTCAATGTAAAAGAAACAATTATAAGAATTTTTTTATGTGCTGTAGTATAAAATTACTTGAAATATTCTGAAATATTGACTGTTCACCAGAATATTTCAAATTATATCATACTACAGCACATTATAAAAAATTCTTATAATTGTTTCATTTATATTTACAGCCAGTGATCGTTGGACAATCACTTAACAATATTCTGTGAAATCTAAATATTTGTTACCAGATTTTTTCTTTTGTATTTTCTTATATTTTCGTTTCTCAGAGGATCATGAAAAGTAAATGTACTATTGGCCACACGAGTCTAGAGGACCGTTTAAGGTTTGTACGGATGTGGAAGGAGGGGCTGTCTATCCGTGAGATAGCTCGCAAGAACAACACCAGCGCCAGCACCGTGTACAGGTGGATAAACAGGTGGCGACTGAAAGGCTACGTCAACAAGGGAACTTTCATAAGCAATCCCCGAGTATCAGGAGGAGAAGAGGAGACCACCGCCCTCCCTTCAGCCTCTCTCCCTAACCCGCCTCCGGCACATGATAATAATTCTCCAGCCATCGGTTATCTGCTACACACTACTTCTCTCCACTACCCAAATACAGCACTACACCAATGTCAAATCTGTAATATTATCCATGCTCAGAGCTTTGCATGGCAAATGAATCTTTCAGTGTGATCAATTAACGTATTTCCCCCAGACTGATGCCAATTGTCCTATCTCTGCCATCGATTACAACGAATGAAGATGGTCAGTGTTCCGTTACTTTAGCAATGACAAGAACTAAGATTTGCACAATGCTTATGTGAAAACCATCACAATAACGTCGTGGGAGTGTATAATAGTGAGTTCGTGGCCTGATTAATTATTTCCAAATAAAAGATCGTGCTAAGCTACCATGGTTTACACAATTCCTTACGGTCATTACCTGAGGCAAGATGGACAATAAGTATACGAACCTTATACGTAAGTAACTGTGACATAACTTCACAACTGAATGTCGATACAAACCACACATACGTTTTTAGAGCACCTCATTTCTTATTCATTTATTTGAATATACGATATAATGCATACTTCCTAAATGTACGTTAAGTGTTGTGCAGTAGAGGAATCTTTAAATAGCCCTTGACCTAACTAGTACATATAACAAAGGGATTTTCCTTCATAGATATTCCAACATATTTATACTTATCTCACATTGCTCTCATTTCTTCAACATCACAATATTTCATGCCGAAAGGTCAAAAAACAGTCATTCATATCTCATCTCTAATATTTTCGATCTGGTAGGTTGGAGGAAAGATTGTACACAAGCGAAATCTATTTTCTATACTAAGCACATCTTCAAGCAACTGAAGAGTCAAAGTTTTTCATTTTATTTTATATAAGTTAACAGAGAATTATAATCGCATTTCACTTGTTAAATTCCAACTCTTTATTGTATGTTCTAATTAAGAAATAAAATTGTAATGTAATACCGACTGTAAAAATAATAATAATAATAATAATAATAATAATAATAATAATAATAATAATAATAATAATAATAATAATAATAATAATAATCATAATCATAATCATCATAATCATAATCATAATAATAATCATAATATTAATAATAATAAAAATAATAATAATAATAATAATAATAATAATAATAATAATAATAATAATAATAATGATAATGATAATAATAATAATAATAATAATAATAATAATAATAATAATAATAATAATAATAATAATAATAATAATAATAAAAATAATAATAATAATAAAAATAATAATAATAATAAAAATAATAATAATAATAATAAAAATAATAATAATAATAAAATTAATAATACAAAAATGAAAAAAGATATGTTTGTTGTGTTGCCAGTAGTAAGAAAAACAATTGAGACCCTGCAGTTGTGTGTAAATGAGGCAGAAAGTCAGATCAACAACCTGGGACTTGGTCACACATGGCAGCAGGGTCCACCATTAGACAACACATTATGCTTCCAATATCTTCCCAGGCGGTACTACCTCCCTGTTTGGTAGTTGCCTACTGATGAGTGTGTGTGTGTGTGTGTGTGTTTTTTTTTGTGAGTGTGTGTGTGTGTGTGTGTGTGTGTGTGTGTGTGTATGTATGTGTGTGTGTGTGTGTGTTTTTGTGAGTGTGTGTGTGTGTGTGTGTGTGTGCATTTAATTACGTTACGTTTGTGTATGTGCCCCAGGTGTTTGTAAATATACTGTATGTGAATTTCCAAATGTCCCTGTGTGTGTTTGTGTTCAGTGTGTGTGTATTTATGTTTATGTATTTGTCCGAGTAAGCGTGTACGTGTCTTTGTTTATAATTGTTTTCATGTGTAATAATAACAATAATAATAATAATAATAATAATAGTAATAATAATAATAACAATAATAATAATAATAATAATAATAATAATAATAATAATAACAATAATAATAATAATAATAATAATAATAATAATAATTAACGATTTATTGAAAAAGTTCGGCAGCCCGAAGGTTGAAAATATACATTGGACAAAAATGATTTACTACATACAAAGACATGGAGTGGATGGGTCGTTTAAGAAAAGCTTTCATTACTGAAAGAGGAAGGAACATGAATTGAACATACAAATTATTATAGTTTACAGTTGATGGCCCGGGCCTGGGCTGGTCATGGAGACACCAGGTGGTGTGGTGTTCACGTGGTGTAGTAACTCATCCTCGGGTGTTGATATGAAGGACCTCACGTAGTCATAGAGACACAGTGTGGTTTGGGGTGGTGTCACAGTACCTCACTCTCTCTGCTCGGTGATGTTGTGTTATCTCGTAGTCAGGTGCATAGCCGGCTGGCCCTCCGTTGTTCCCAGGGTGGACGGATTAGCACCTCCTGGTCAGAAGAAGGGGGTCAGTTCCCAGTGGTGCTTATCTCACTGGTGGGTCACGGCTCTCACTGGTACTGTCTAGTGCTGAATTCACTGGCCTAAGCACTGTTCATCACTGTTCAACACTTGTCCCACTTCTTTCCGAAACGATATTGTCACTTTTGATGATCTAGATATCACTGTGTTGAGGATGGGTCGGGGAAAGGGAATTCAGAAATGGGCCGACATGGCCAAGGGGGGCCACCACTCAGCAGGAGCGGCGCCTGAATAGGTCTTGACCCTGCAGTGGTCAAGGATGTAGTATGTGTGTGTATGTGTGTTTGTGTGTGTGTGTGTGTGTGTGTGTGTGTGTGTGTGTGTGTGTGTGTGTCATTTTGTTTACGTGCATGTGTTTCTTTTCTTCCTTCGAAGAGGACGCTGAAGATGTGGGTGTCTATGATGGCACTCTCGCTGGTGTTGGCCGTTACTATTTCACAGACTGTTGTAAACCCGCCCCGCACTGATGGTAAGAATACATCTTAATTTATATATATATTTTTTAACTCGAAAAGACTTCCGTCCTGCACTAACAAAAGGCTGTAGTTTGTTTATCTCAAATGCCTGAGTTACAAAAGCCACCTTCAACTTTCTCTTCATTGCCTACCTTTTTCATCCTTCTGTATCAGTACTTTTGAGATTTCCCATAACGTCACATTCATTTTAAAGTGATTTTATACCTTTAATCTTCTCTAATTGATTTGTGTCTCCCCTACCTGTTTAATACTGTTTCCTAATCTTCCACAAGACCTATAATTCCACACTATTTCTGCATTAACTCTTTGAGAGCAAAAGGTTTAAACCAACACTCTCAATGGGTTAAGTATCCTCCTAAACACAACTTTTTCTTTCGACTGGGTTGGTCTATTACTGATGAATGCAGAACAACCGCAAGTGATAGTTACAAAGAGATTTTGGCACAATTTGTTTTTCATAGAAACATGTGTATTGAATCTATATGAAGATCCTTTAAACAATTTACTTATTTTATCAATGAATATCAGAGATTATGAAATGAGCAATAAGAAAAAGGGGAAGAAACAATCAAGGAAGCGCGTACGGCAATGTCAGGTGATTTGCATCTCAAAAAAAAAAAACACTTTTTGGTAGAGTAGGTTTTCCCATCACTACTAATACATTATCTCGTGTAACTTACAAGCCGCTTCAGACCATTTTCTAACGACAAGGATATAAAATAATCTGCCCACACAGATGAGACCGAAACACTAACATCAGCAGGAGAAGCGGTGGAGGCTGTGTTGGAAACAGCGTCACATCCCTGGTGCTCCGTCTTCCTTTTCACAGATGGCACAACATCCACCTCCTCCGTCTTAACTGTATGTGGACTGACGTTTCAACATGATAGATAGAGAGAAAAATATAATTTATTTTTTCCAACAATTTAAAGTGTACGGTGGTTAGTCAATCTGAGCAGAACATAAAGACATCGACGAATGAAAAACAGACTGTTCTTATTAATACCAGGGGCGAAGATTCACACGATAAGAATATTCTTGTTACTAATATATATTTTAGGAAGATAATTATGGCACTTACACTTGGACACACGCCATTGCTTTTGACTACATACGTTCCCCTATTGTTTGCCAGATGCTGGATAGACTCCCGGCCTCCTGGGGTGTGGCAGTGTTCGAGGTGGCAGTGGACGGCCGGGACGCTAACATGACTCAGGCGCAGCTCTCCCGGGTGGTCGACGAGGCTCGGCGGGTAGGTCACTCTCACATTACTACTGAGGCGGGTAGGTCACTCTCACATTGCTACTGAGGCGGGTAGGTCACTCTCACATTACTACTGAAGCGGGTAGGTCACTCTCACATTACTACTGAAGCGGGTAGGTCACTCTCACATTACTACTGAGGCGGGTAGGTCACTCTCACATTACTACTGAGACGGGTAGGTCACTCTCACCGTACTACTAAGACAGATAGTTCACACTCACATTACTACTGAGGCGGGTAGGTCACTCTCACATTACTACTGAGGCGTAGGTCACTCTCACATTACTACTGAAGCGGGTAGGTCACTCTCACATTACTACTGAGGCGGGTAGGTCACTCTCACATTACTACTGACTCTCACATTACTACTGAAGCGGGTAGGTCACTCTCACATTACTACTGAGGCGGGTAGGTCACTCTCACATTACTACTGAGGCGGGTAGGTCACTCTCACATTACTACTGAGGCGGGTAGGTCACTCTCACATAACTTCTACCATGTTGACGTCAACAGCTGCGGCAGGTGTCATGGTGCGTGACGGTGGTGGTGGTGAGCGACGACCCAGCCTTCCTCGCCGCCTTCGCCGAGTGGTCCCTCAAGGGCCGCCTCCTGGTGTGGCCGACGAGGCTCCTCGTCGTCACCCGCCGGCCTCTCTCGGAGCTTCTTAACTTAAATAAGTCACTGTCAATGATGAACGCCATGTTGCTTGTCGTAGACGATGCAACGAATACCAAGAGGTTAGACTTTACCTGATTGTTTTCTTTGATTATGAACTGTGTGCTCTGTATATTATATGAAATAAACATTTAAAAACTCCCTTTGATCCTCTCTCACTGCAGACATTTTTTTCTTTCAGGTGTAGTGTATATATGCACCTGCCTTACAGCCACAGGGGTGCCCAAGCTGTTCAGCTGGCCTCCTGGATACCCCACCGAGGCCTCACTCTCTCCTCCCACCTCCAGCTTTTCCCTAACAAGTTCTCACCGTGCGTGTCCAGACCGTGATGTATATAATGTGTATTGATTTATACCATAGTCAGTATTTTTTTTTCTTTCTATGTATTCTGTCCGTTTACTATTTACGTAAGCAGACATCAGTTTACACAATGAAGATGAGGCGTGTATAATAATAATAATAATAATAATAATAATAATAATAATAATAATAATAATAATAATAATAATAATAATAATAATAATAATAATAATAATAATAATAATAATAATAATAATAATAATAATAATAATAATAATAATTAACGGTTTATTATAAGAGCATAGCTGCCGGAAAGCTGAAAATATACAGTTACATAATTGGGAATGGGTCTCTTGATTGCCGAATAATATACAAGTAACATAAGTAATACAAATATGATATATAACTAGGTGGGGAGAAGGTTGTACTACAAGGCATTCAACATAGTGACAGTGCAAAAACGTAAGATTTGCTGGAGGGGGTAGGGTACGATTCAGCGCCGCCAATTCAGCGCCGCCGTTTCAGCGCCAGCCCATTTCAGCGCCAGACTATTCAGCGCCGAGACCTTTCAGCGCCTGTGCGTTCCGTTCAACATCTCTGTGGGAAACAATTGTTGTCTTCTCCCAGTTCCTCTCCGGTATGGACGACCAACCTAACCTAACCTAACCTAACCTAACCTAACCTAACCTAACCACGTTAATGAAAGACAGATAGCTTCTGAGTTGAACGGAACGCACAGGCGCTGAAAGGTCTCGGCGCTGAATAGTCTGGCGCTGAAATGGGCTGGCGCTGAAACGGCGGCGCTGAAACGGCGGCGCTGAATTGGCGGCGCTGAATTGGGCCATCCCCTGCTGGGGGTGTATACATTGGTTGATTACGAGTTGTTGGCCATTTTTACAATGGTTGGGACTGGGCTGTTCTTATAGCGATCAGTATGTGCTCGTATGGGCTGGAAGCGGCTGTAGTGTCGAACAGCAATTCTCGGGCGAGGAATCTCGGGTGGTAGTAGGAGCCGGTGTCGAGGATGGTGCAGAAACTTCTCACCAAATTTGCAGATGAAGTCATGGTGATGGTCAGTGAGAGTCGAAAGTGTTAGTGTGTTGAGTGCGTCTTGATAGTTGGTTTAGGAAGGGGAGAGAATGATCTTGCATGCCCTCTTTTGCACTTTTTATATGTATTTCCGTTGTGTGGCAGGCAGAGGAGACATAGGTGAGCTTGGGGAGTATGAATGTTGAGTAAACAATGAGGAGCTCGGACGCAGGAACTCCGAGGGACTTGAGTCAGTGAAGGTTTGGAGACTAAAACTGGAGGGTTTGACGCGTGTACTGACGTGTGGTTTCTATACGTGTTCTGGGTATCAAGTTCTATCTACAGGAGCGAACACAAACACCTGTAGAGTTTCGTAGGTTCTATGTACTGGATAAACAGATATGTACACAAGGGAGGTAGCGCTCCTTACTCTGTATGGGGGTCAACTTGTCTCTTGGCGACATGTGGTGAGTGATACATTAACAGCTCCCATATGTCGCCAGGCACATTAATTAAGCATGTGGGACATGGTAAATACATTGCCACACGCTGCTAGCTAGGCTGAACAAATAGTGTATACAAATGGAGCACATACAAAATATACATACAGCATACATAATATACATACATAATACATAATATACATACACCTCCCTCCCCCCTATACGCTCATAGCAAAGTCTTGAGCGGACCTTTTCTTTTGGATCCGTTCTGAGCGTCGAGGGACTTGAACACTGGGAAGGGTATGGGACTCAACACTGGTGGCGGGGTCAGCAGAAGGCATTGTTAAGGGGCGGAGAAAACGGCGGTTCCTCCACCACACACGACCACTGGGTAACCGCACCTGGTAGGCCCGTGACCTACCGAGACCCATGACTACGCCCACTTTGTCCCAACGTAGGGAGGTCGGGTCCTGAACACGGACTTGGGTGCCGACACTCAACCTGGGGAGAGAATGGGCGTGGTCGTTGTAGCGGGCGACGACGTCCTGAACACGTTCGGCGGCTCGGCGATCACAATCCTCTGTCATGGCCTGCCACTCCTTGGAGAAGGATTGAGGGTGAGCAGGGACACAAGAACGAAGGGGGCGTCCATACAAGACCTGGGCAGGGGAGAGTCCGGTGTAGTTAGGTGTGTTGCTGAGTTCAAGAAGACCCCGGTCGAAGGCCTCACAGTCAATATTCCCAGAAGGGGCCACCAAAAGGATGAGGTGCTTCAGGGATTTGACAGCAGCCTCAGCGTGGCCGTTGGACTGCGGGTAATGGTGCGATGACAACACATGCCGGACTCCCCATCGGTCAAGGAACACAGCAAAGTCCCGGCTTGTGAACTGGGGCCCTCCGTCGGTTCGCAGGCGTACAGGAACGCCCACGTCACGGAAGTAGTGGCGGAACTTGCTGATGGTGGCAGCAGACGTCGTGTCATTACCGCACTTGATGATAACCAGCCAACCAGAGAGACGGTCGACGATAACAAGGAAGGACTTTCCTGACACAGAGAAAAAGTCGGCCGACACAGACTCAAAGGGGCGGGTGGGGTTGTCGTCACTCATGAAGGGTTCCTGCTGCTGGCTGGGTTGTAATACTTGGCAGGGCTCACACGCACGGACAACATTGGAGATGTCGGAGTCGATGCCGGGCCAGAACACAGTCTGTCGTGCACGTCGTTTGGTGGCCTCAGCTCCACGGTGACTGTCGTGAAGGCGAGCCAAGACGTGGGGACGTGAGGCAGCAGGGGCAACTACCGTGCTCCGTACATAACAAGGTCTCCGTCGCAGTAGACTTCATCACGGAGTTTCCAATACGGGAGCAGGGTGTTGTGAAGGTCGTAGCCGTTGCTAGGAAATCCATTCCTCACACACTGGACGAGTCGGACGAAGGAAGGGTCATCTCGTGAACAGGTCCAAACGAAGGGATTGGACGGCGTGTAGAGTGACCACAGTCCTGACGGAAAGAGCGAGGTCGGCGTCGAGCACATGGTCTTCTGGAGTAGGGCGGCTGACAGGAGAGCGGGATAAGGCATCAGGGATGCAGAGCTCCTTACCAGCACGCCACACTGCTGTGAAGACGTACGCCGAGAGCTTCTCTTTCGGACGCTGGAGGCGAGGGTTCTCAACGGCGTCCAGCTTGTAGTGGTTGAGGATCGGAACAAGCAGGCGATGGTCGGTCACTAGGTGAAAGTGTTGCAGGCCTATGAGGTAAAACCTGCACTTGGACATCGCCCAAACCACAGCCAACAGCTCCAACTCAATAGTGGCGTAGCGCGTCTCGGTGTCAGAGAGGAAACGCGAGCCCCACTGGAGTAGCTGGAACTGCCCTCCACCATGATCCTGCAATTGGGCGTATGCCACTCCATACAAGCGTGAGGCATCTGTCTGCAGAACCGTCGGCAAGGCTGGGTCAAACGTGGCGAGGACAGGTGGACTAGACAGGGCCTGTTTCACTTGCTGGAAGGCCTTGTCGTGGTCGGGGGTCCACAGGAATGTCCTCTTGGGGCTCATCAGGGGGCGAAGTGGTTGGGCAGCTGCGGAGATGTCCGGCGAAAACTCTGCTAACTGGTTGACGAGACCGATGAAGGACCTCAAGTCGGTGAGGTTAGCAGGGGTGGGAAAATCCGTGATGGCGCGGACCTTTTCCGGGTCAGCTGCGATACCATTCCCTGAGAGGGTGTACCCACAAAAGTCCACTGAAGAGCTGGCCAGAACAAACTTGTCGGCATTTAGGGTGATGCCGTGCTTCCGGCACCTGTTGAGTACCTCGTAGATACGGCAGAGGTGATCCATGTAATCCTCATCGTACACGAGTATGTCGTCGACCACTTTCACGCAGTTTGCCAGACCTTGTAGAGCCATATCACCTCGAAGACAGAAAGAGTCTCCTGTAGCGGCGAATCCCATGGGGCCACGGCAATAACTGTAACGTCCATGCGGGGTAATGAAAATTGTAAGTGGTCGGTCTTCTTCGGCAAGCTCTATCTGCCAGTATCCACACAGGGCGTCCATCGTCGTGAAGAAGCACGCCTTCGGGTTCACACTGCGTATAGCTGCAAAGGGCGTGGGAGAAGGGTGCGCAGGACGAGACACCTGGCTGTTGAGCTTGGAGAGGTCAGTGGTGATCAGAACACCACCTTTAGGTTTTGCGACGACTACCATAAGGTGACACCATGGAGACGGGTCATCACCGGTTGGTGCAATAATTTCTTGGGCGACCATGGAGTCCAGCTCGTTTTTGACCGCCTCGCGGAAGGCCAGGGGAATCAGTCGAGGGGTGTAGATAGCGTAGGGCTTCGCGTCGTCCCTCAGGTGGATCCTCATGGGGGGACCTACCATCTTCTTGAGAGGCTTGGATTCCAGAGCGGACTTGGTAACCAGAACGTCGCTGAATTCCTTCAGAAAGTACTTCCGAGCATCCGAAGGCGAGGTGTCACTGGCAAGAGGCAGGGGTAGGGGGGCAGCAGGGTCGTTGCTGCTCCCTTCTTGTACCCTGTTGGCGTGTTTTACTTCGAGAATAGGTTTGGGGAAGCCCTGGGAGATGATGGCCAACTCTTGACAATCTCTGTAGGACAGCAAAGGAGTCGGGACACCGTTATGCACATCAATCCAGGCTTGACACGACCTGTTGCCAAAGGTGACTTGTGCTTGGAGTGAACCTAGGGCTGGGGCCATCTGTGAACCATCTGCCGTGAAGCGGAGATCCTTGGGGGGCGGTCCTAGATCACTTGGAGAGAGCCCCAAGCATTGCAAATGCTGGGGACCGATGACTGTAGCATCAGCGCCGGTGTCGGGCAACATCTGAAGACGGGATGACACACTGCCGTAGGTCACGATGACACTGATGTACTGGGGGACTTTGGTCCTGGGACGCGAGGAGGAGCACACATTCCTAATATGGCTCGAGCGTTGTCCAGGGTCGTCGTGCCTCTGATTGGAAGACTGTGGGCGGCCCTCACTGGTGGAAGGGCGCTGAAGCTTCCGCCGACGCT